GCCCACCCGGTCGCACGGCATCGATCCCAGGCGCGTCTGCTGAGTGTGCGGAGGGTGCGGCCGCACGCGGAAGGGCTGCTGCACGCGAGAGGGGCACACGAGAGGTTGGCCGAGAGGTGGAAGCACACCAACAGCACCAGCCAGAGGTGATGCACCCGCAGCCACAGCCTCGCCCACAGATTCCCCGACTCGTATCAGTTGATCCGAGGACCGCAGGGCAGCCAGGGCAGAGCGCATCGTCGGCTCAGCAAAACCATCCACATAATGCACCCAATGAGGACCACCACCCACCCGTCCGTATCCTGCAGCGAACATCTGCCGAGGGGCAAGAATCAGGCGACCACCAAGTCCCCTTCACCGCAGTGCGACACATCGAGGCTCCACCCACCGTCGCCGCGTCCAACCAGCAAGCCCACCACACCAACCAGCCGACACGCGCGGCCGCTGCATATACAACGGCCGGCGGAAGCGGCGACCCAGATTGGCCGCACAGAAACCCTGGGGGCCGTGGTGGTGGACGTGGCAACAACGGAGGTCGGGGGCCTGATGGAGGGAACAATGGAGGTCGCCGTGACGGTGCTGGTGGAGAGGGACGACGTGGTGGTGATCGCGACAGGGACCGACGAGACGATCGCCGACGAGATGAGAGGGGCCGCGACGGATACCTCGGCCCCCTCTTCGAGGATGTGCCCGAGAGAGAGGATGATGACTTGAGCAGACAGTGGGAGGATATGGTGGCTCGCGAGCACTCGAGGCGAGCATACGAAGAGAAGTTGCGACGAGAGGAGGAACGTGAGCAGCAGCGGCGGGCGATGAAAGAGCTGAAGCCGTCCCCCTTCAGTGGCGATGATGGCATGCCAGCAAAGGAGTGGTTGAGAGAGTTGGAGACGTGGCTCGACGAGGCGGCCGTAGTCCTTCAGATGAGGCCGCAGATATTCCACAAGCAGCTCAAGCCGGGGAGCAGCGCAGCCGCCTGGTGGTACAACTTGCCTGAGGCGACTCGCGGCAGCTGGAATGAGCTGCGGGAGGCGTTCGTCGAGCAGTACGTGCCGCGCGCCACTTCAGACCTCATCTACCGACAAGACCTGAAGCGAATGCGGATGGAAGACAATGAGACGATCGATGCCTTCACCAAGCGTTTCAACATCCAATGCACGAAGGTCAATGGCCTCACCGATGACGAGAAGAGGTCGAACTATCTGTCCGCATTGATTCGACCGGTGTACAACGCCATGAAGCCGTTGCTGATTGGGAAGAATGACCAGGAAATGAAGAAGGTCAACTATGCCTACCTCTGTATGCTCGCCCGCGAAGCAGCACCTGAAAAATACCGGAAGAGCGACACTTCAGATACAGCTGACCGGGACAAGCGCCCCAACGAATCGAGCAATTGCCGAGGCGACGAAGCTCCACGCCCGCCCTTCGCCCCAACGACCACCGACAACCCTCTCGCGTCACTAATGGCCATGACGACCCCCGCACTGCTTGCATCATTGCAGCAGCCCGCCACCATAGCAGCCAAACAGGACGATAGTGACGATGAGGACCGAGGGGACGAATATGAGGAGGAAGAGGAGGACGACGACGACGAGACGGACGAGTTGAGCAGGAGCAAGACATCGGAGGGCAGCATCCCAGCCGACCAACTCACAGCTGCCCAGGCATTGGCTGCCCTCCAGCTGAATGCCCTCAGCAACCCCATGCTCGGACTCGCCAACCCTCTGGCCGCCCTTGCCAATCCACTCGCTGCTCCACTCGCTGCTCCACTCGCTGCTCCACGACACATGCACCTCCGCTCTCGCAAGGGACGCCGACCCACCTGAATTGTCACCATACGGCTATTTGTCATCAGCCATTGAGCCATCTGTGGCAGTGTGTGTCATGTGGGTACCGTGATGTGTTGTGTCTGGCCGTTGGTGACGACCGGTTCGATCTCTGTCGCGCTCAATCTCCGTCGTCCTTGATCTCCTTCGTCCTCGATGTGCCAGTTCGATGCCTATGTGATGCAGGGTGGACACACCGACATGTTTGGATGCTCGCTTCCTTGGATGTATCCATCTGACACTTACCGATCTGATGTCTGGACGCGTATCTCTTCGTTCTCGATGGCAACCAGCACTCCTCGCGACACCTGGAGTGCACAGACCACATCTCGTTTTAAGAGCCATCACATGGGTGTGCGCCATCCCTCTCGGCGCGTGCTCGTGGCCCACCTCTGCAGTTTTGACTTTCCCTCGTCTACTCGATCCACCTGATGCCCTATCTGGAGTTGTTCTTCCTCGCTCGGGCGCCCAGCTGACCATTGCTGAACCGGTCTGGTGTGCCGTCACACGCCCCGCTGGCTGCCCTTATGCTGTCACTTGCCTACCTTGCCCTTGTCGGCCGACTGGAGGCCATTGCTGTCGTCCTCGATGTCCCCTGCCGTCTGTAGTCGTCACCATAATGCAGCTGGATATCATCTGAGAAGAATGCCAGTCAAGGACCGTGCTCAAGTCGGTGCAGAGGCTTTCCTTCCTCCTTCCTCGCTGTGCGTACCTCTGATCCTGATGGTGAAGCCCCCTGTCCGTGCTGAGCGGCTCACTCTAAACTCACAAGTGCCATGGGTCAACTGAAGGCTCTTGGACGTGTCGAACTTTCGCCTTTTCCCGGAAGGACCGCTCTTTCTGCCCATCCCTGGTGTCCGCTGACTGACCAACGACACACAGCACACCAATCGGCTGCAGACGACTCGGACGCCTACCCTGACCTTGCTGCCTTGTCTGTCATGGCTTACCTGCCTTGTTGATATTGGTTTTAATGAGGTCCTTCTCCCCTCACCTCTCTGCGTCAGTGTCGAGCGCCTCTCCCCTGGCCTGACGATTGGAAGTCCCGAGGGACCTGCTGCTTGGTGCTGTTGTAGATAAAGCCTTGCTACTGCGATTTTGCCTTCCTTTCCTCGCTCTCTCGCTTCGCTGCCTGTCTGCGAGCTTTTGTGGGCTGCCTTCCCCTGTTTCGCGCTCGAATCCATTGTCGAAGCCGTGTGCCTCGCGCTTGACCGGCGAGGTTGTGTTGCGAAGTGCTCACGATGCCCTTCGCCCCTGTCTGTGACCCTGATGAAGGCGCTCGGCTCAGATAGCTGGAAGTGTGGACGTATGTGTCTGGATGTGACGGACGGATGGATTGGATGCCGCGGACCGTGTGCTGATGGAGAGGATGCAGCCCTGGATGAATGGATAGACGGATGGATCTGATGCTGATGCTGATGGATGACAGGCTGAAGGATAGTAGTCGTGTGTAGGCAGACATGACGACAAGCCGTAGATGGGCACAGCGGAGGCAGCCGGGGAAGATAGAGGGCTGCTGATGAATAAGAGCGCTAGATAAGCCTGCAGTGCATGCATGCGTGGGCTTGGGGGCGTAAGACGGGAGATAGCAGAAGTTGGCCAAGCGAGTTAGTGCCGTTTGCGTTTCATGATTCGTTATTGATCCTCCGATATGACTTGATGTCATTCTCTTGAGATCTGTTGCTTCGGCACGGTCTTCGGTCGTTCCGACCGCTTCCCTTCGACAGGGCGTCTTCCCAAGCCGCCCTTGGAGCCGCAGAGTGATGGTGGAGTGCGCATGTGAGTGATGGTGGATAACGAGTACGTCGCCCAGCTGGTCACCCTCCCGGTGAGTCCGCAGCGAGGCGACGCGAGTACTCGTACGACAGCTAGCTGCCCTTCGAGCGTCCTCTTCGCTCAGCCAGATCTCGCTCTCTCTCTGAGTCCGCGTGTCTTCTCGTCCTTCCAGGACTCATCCCTGTGCTGACCTACTCCTCTCCTCTCTTCCCGACTGGCCGGATGCATGTCTTGGGATGCTTTTGGGGTCATGTCTCACTGGGATTACATACACGCATATCTGCTTGAGATCTACCTGTCTGTCCGTCTGTGTTGTCTCTCTAGCCTCCCAGTGTGTGCCTACGTATCCACCGCAAGGTCCGTCCCCTCGCCGATCACACACTAAGGCAGACAACACATGCACACCCGCACATCAGTCAGGAGAACACGGGACACTCACTTAGAGCGGACGGCACGAAAGCATGTGTGTGGCTGGCTATCTCTCTCTCTCTCTCTCTCGGTTGGCTGAAATCAGTTGGTTGTCTGGTGTGTTTGGCTGTGCGTATAAATGGCTGGTATGCTTCGCATGTGGGTTTGATTGTTGCCAGAGAGAGGACATCCGCACCAGGACACTTTCCTAACAGACAGGAACAAATCGGAGTCAACAGGGAAATCAGCGTGTGACGCAGTGTGAGACGATCGGAGCCAGTCGGGGTGATCGCTGCAAACACAGCAACATTCTTGGAAAATAAAAGGGTGTGTGAATATGATGAAGGTCTCTGTGCGCACACCTGCGCATGCACGCATCGACTTAGAGTGTGTGCATATAATGAAGGTTTCTGTGCGCACACCGAGTGCACGCATCGGCTTGGAGAGTTTATATTTAGGCTTGGAGTGGGTGCATTTGATAAATGTCTATGTGCACACACCTGCGCATGCACGTTTGGACTGGAGTGTGTGTATATGATGAAGGTCATGCACATTTGGACTTGGAGTGCATGAGATCGATCGGAAGAAACCTAATGTGGGAGGTGATGTGCTCTGTCTGCGTGTCTATCTGTTTATGGTCGGGCGGCGGTGTTGTCGTGTCACACACACACACACACACACACACACACAGGGAGAGAGAGGCAGTGGGTGGCCGACCAAAAAGATAAACCGTCGACGCAGACAGACGGACGGACGGACGGACGGATGGAGGGGGGGGGAGAGAGCACACACACACACACACACACACACAGAGAGAGAGAGAGAGAGGAGTGTCTACACAGCCGAGGAGAAGCGTGCACACACACTCACACGCACATACACCCGTATACAAAACACGTGAGAAGAAAAAAGGAATCTCGACGAAACACTCACACACACGAGCAGAAAAAAATCAACACATTCACTCCCTCGCTCAAAACCCGAGGCACACATCAGCCAGCCAACAGGCCACAGACATGAATGTGTTGATACATAGCCGCTCCCACGTGTGTGTGTATCTGCACTCTCTCCTACTCTATGATGCTGACCAAATGCAACTGAACATAGCGGCCAACATATCTGTCATCTGTCAGTACGATCCGCCTCATCTCTCCCTCCCGCATCGACAGCACCGCCTCACGGAGCCACCCACCTCCATCAGACACACGCCACACCACCCACACGACCCCTGCTCTAGGATGCTGAGCAGCCGCAGCTGAACGTAGGGGCCATAAGCTTCGGCTCGCATTATGAATCGCCCGACCTCACCCACACGCATCGACAGGAAGGCCTTACGCAACCAGACCCACACGAGACACACAAATCATCTGCGAAGCGTCAAAATTGACTATTTCCTCGCCGTCGAACGCATCAAGCCACCCAAACCAGTCGTAGTTGACGGTCTGGTTGAGTGTGGGTGTTCTTCCGTAGCCCTCCTGCACCACCTCATATTGCACACCACATGGCAGCGTGCCAGTCCGAGGGCGCAGAGGAGTGCCGCCCCCATTGGTGGGACTGCCGATTGCACACACACACATACAGGACACACGCAAAGCCAATGACCGTCCTGATTGAGGTGAGTGAGAGGTGTGCTGCTTACCTCTGGTTGTTCGGCGGGTCTGTGGCACTCCTGTCGTCCTGTCCGTCGGCATTGATTTCGTTCGACAGGCGCTGCGCAAAGGCGTAGTCAGCCGCCTCCTGACGCTGACGAGCCGTGAGGGGTGTTTGTTGGCGGCTCGGAGGGACAGCAGTGGTTGCTGCGTGTGTCATGTTGCTGGGTGCATGTGTGGGTGGTGCCGCAGTGGCCGTCCGCAGCTCCTGCACGATGTCACGGAGCTGGTAGTTGATGGGCACTTCCGACTGAGAGGTCTCGCGCCTGATTGACAGAAACGCACACAAACACACGCACGTGAGCAGAAAACCATTGACAATGTGGCTTGGTTGGTTGCGTGCCTGCAGGTTGGGCAGACGGCTATGCGACGACGGCTATTGCGAATGAGGCCCTCAACACACTGCAGACACACAGACGGACAGCGACCAAACACACACGAGTCACTCATTGAGCAATGAGTGCCGTCCGTCTGTCTGTCTGTCTGTACCGCCGCGCAGAAGGAGTGACCTGATGGAAAGACGGGTGGGCGCATGACACACACAGATCACGAGTGCTGTCAGTCCTCTCCTCCCTCCCTCCCTCCCTCTGTCTGCCTGTGTGTGTGTTTCTCACTCACCGCATCGCAGCACTTGAGGCTGCTTGTGGGCATTCTCATGATGGTACTCCTCCCAACACACACCACACTTGGCAAGAGCCGCCATCACGCCACAGCCGAGATCTGCTCCACACGACACACATACGCAGGAACATCGGATGTGGGCGATGTGTCCTCACGAGCTTGATCCCATGCGTTTCTCGTTCGCTCAACTGTCACTCACTGTGTCAACAACAAGCGCCGAACGAGGTAGATCTATCTTCAGGGTCTCGGCGTCTGCAATCTTGGGGATCGAAGTTAGGGTGGAGACCGAGTTACACTTTTTCTCAATATTCAAGGACTGGCTGCGAAAGCTGCCAACTTCGCGTCGCTTTTTGACGATCTTGTGAGAAAAAGGCCGGTGAGGACCTTTCCTGTAGTTAGCTGAATAGAGGATCTGCTGGTTGGTTGGTTGGTTAAGGGTTTGACGAGACACCTGTCCCTAAGCCCGGCGCTACCTTCCGGCGCAACCAGGCATCTTCTCTGTCCACAGCACACACCAAACAGGCAACAGGCACATGCAGAATGCATGCACAAGGCC